TTTTTTCGATTATTAATCTATGTTTGACTTATAGTCTTTAGTAGTGTATGCATAGCAATTGATACATTATAAATAAAAACAATGGTGACAATATGGTCCAAAAACATACATATGAAACAGAGTAATAGTTTATAATACGGAAACAAAAATACATGTAGAAAATCGTATCAGCATTTAACACATTCGTGCTCTTTCAAAGATAGGAAAAAAATATGTTGTTAACCATTTATTTTTCACTATATACAAAAAAAAGAAAAAATACGTTATTTGAATCAATAAATATTGTTAACATTGACATTCGAAGTAAAATTTGATCATTTAGAGGAGAGAAGAATTTACATGTCCCAACAGTTAAAATTAAAGTCATTAAGTAAAATTATTCCTCGTTTTCTCTCTCTCTCTCTTGCTTGCCAACTGAATGAGTGTGAAAGAATTTTCATTAGAATTCTTATTAGTTATGCGTATTACTTTACCGCAAAGCACGTTGACCTTCTCTCTTTTGCGTACAAAACAGAAAGGAAAGAAAAACTTTCTCTTGTATATATTTGTCTATTTTTAGATGTGACGTACAAATATATCGTTTTCTTCGTTGTTTTTATTACTATTTTTAACATTCATACTACTATTTATAGAAATTTCTTAATTTAATTGTTTATTTAAGAAATAAACTTATACTAAATCAACAAACATCATAAATATCTACGCCCCTAAAGAAGAAAAATAAATTAAAAAAGCTTCTACACTACTACAATTTGAGGATAAATTTTATTCTAAAAACAAAAAGAAAATCGAAGGTGTCGATTCGATGAGATGATTTCTCGTTCTTGCTGGCAATTGTATTTTGTAAACTTTATCTGCTATTTTATTTATTTTGTTCGAATTTAGGTGCCAACAATAAGAGTAATAAATTTTACGTATTTGTAGAAGACTACGATTGATTTAATATTCACTATTGACATTGAGAATTCATGAATTAGAGCTTAGACAATAGTCATCATTGTTTATTGAATTGTAGACTAATCAAGAGCTCATTTATCGTCACCAGACATTAAACATGTATCGTCTTAAATAGTTGTTTATAACAGCACTCTTTTTGCAGCTGAATATCCTTAAATAACATTAAGAATCATATCGGTTTTTCGTGAAAAATTGCCACCTGTTCGCCGAGAATTTTCTGTATACTAATGTGCACAGAAACTTTCGCTGGTTCTTTTAATGGTATTAATTAGTCTTCGAACACGGTTCCCGGTACCTAAAAATTAACTTTCCTCGTTAGGGTGCTGTGAGATAGGGATAAACATAAAAATCTCATATCTCTGTAATGAAACGCTTTCTAAACAAATAGATTCCAGGTATGAGTTGCCTCATGTCAGGGTTACAAAACGTACTACTAACGCATCACTACACACTCGTCAGAATCTTTTTTACCATCATAAAAGCTTTTGACTTATCTGCATTCTACTACACAGTACATGAAAAGGATTTTTTTGGTAGCGGAGTGTATGATGGTTGATGACGGTTTATGGTCGCGGATATTCCATTGATATTTTAGTGTCATTATCTATAGGCTTGAACAGCTGTCGTTTCGTTCTTCCGGAACAGCATGACATTTAGCCCATGCTGTTCAGGAAACGTTTTCGACTTTTTACGAATGTTTGAATTTAGATATCTTTAATTCGAGGTCTGTAGTGATAAAATCAGATGATTATATTATGTTTATGTTTTTCAGTTAACTCTTTATTTCTACCTACGTCTTCTTCAAAGTCAAATTGACTTTTTGTTGTTATCAGCCTGGTTATATGTCGCTATAGTAGACTGTCATTGTTCCGAACAAAAATAAACACATTTTTATGGCGCAATAAAGAAACCAAATGTTCCCGACACCTGGTCTGTGTCTCACGTGCGTCACTGAGTTTACAGTGTTCTTTTATCTGCTGGATTATTGCTTCTTCATACTCCACGACTATGTACAACGTAGCAATTTTCAGTCATCTGTCTATCGGCAGCGCATTTGTGACTCCATAATTTCCACTGACGAGATTTTGCTTTTTTCGAGTTTTTATTTGTTCTGTGGTCTTTTTATCCTTTTCATAAAGTTTTGCATATTGAAAAACAAAAATATCAGTTATCTTGAATGAAAAGTGTTAATTTATGTTGATTTTCAGGTACCGGGAACCGTGTTCGAAGACCAATCAATGATGCCATTAAACGAATCAGCGAAAGTCCCTGTACACACTACTGTAGAGAAAATTCTCGGCAGACAGGTGGCAATCTTCCACGAAAAATCGACATGGTCCTTTCTCATTTGAACTATATTTAGAAACCTGACAGACTTGTTTTGCGTTCATCAAGTACATGTAGGAACCATTGTACCACACACTTTCATTTGTGCTTTATGCCCACGCACATCACATTTTCCACCCTATTACCCAAAATATTTCTGAGATTTCTTGTCATTTTGTCTGTCCTACGCACACAGTCGCTTTCTGTAGGTAAACACATGGAATTAAGCATTTACGACTGTTGTTCGTGTTGCACACGAGAAAAAATTTTTATATGCATTAGAGAACAAGCAAATAAGATATCTTTTTCCACATAAGTTATTCCATGTGCGAAGATTCTTTGACTCAACACATCGAGCGGAAAAAAAGAAAACAGAAAGATAAAAAGAGATATCTTCCTACACTACGATTACACTACGCAAATAATCGTGATTAAGCATTTTCTAGTGTAACTATAATTTTTTGGAACATGATTAATGATATTTAATCACGATGAACAGAGATATGTGTGACCACACTAGATAATTGTGATTTAACCCGTGATAGCCATTACTATAAATACTCAGTGCGCAAAAGAGAACTCATTTTGTGTTGGCAAAGTTAAAATGAATACAGTAACACTCTTTAATCTCATCAATAAATTTTGTTGACACCGGCTGCTAATAACCTTCTTGAACTTTTTTCCAGGTGCCACGATTCCGATGACTTGCCATTTCATTCAATATCTTTTCAACTTTTTCGGCAAGTTTGTCTCTTCCTCAACCACCACGATCCCTTTATCTTCGTTTTATTCTTGTAACCCGATGTAGTCATTTTTAACAAAAAAATGATTATTAATTAATTATTTATTAATCTGTAAAAGAGTATAGAAGTATACTCTAGTATAGAATAAAAGAGTATGCCAGAAAAATTCTTTAGTAGGCAAAACAGTGTTCAGACTGATTAGTTATTGCAGTTGAACAGTCATATGCAAGCGCCGCTACCATGGTCCTTTTTTCGACAGAGGCAGTTAAAGTTAATCATCTTCTGAACATTATCTTTAAACATTATCTTTTTCAAAATAATCGTGATTGAAGTAGCGGTCACACTACTAGTTTAATCATGATTAACAATCACGATTAAAGATAATCGTGATTATTTGCGTAGTGTAACCGTAGTGTTATTTGCTGGTTCTCTATTGTAAAAAATAATCACGGTAAAAACTCAAAAAGAGCAGCATAATGCATGATCTACAATATTCCACGTCGTAAGATTTGTTCTAGGATATTTCGCCACATTGTGAGTAAAATTCCAACGAAATTCTGAGTTTTTACATTTATGTCTCAGAATCTTATCGAATAGTCGAAAACTTTGGGACAATTTAGCACAATTGTGAGATATAGTGAGAGTCTCGCTGAAATTTTACTCACAATTAGGTATACACCAGTTTTTTTAGCGTTATTCGCAAAAACGTTCGTATTTTCGCAGAAATGCGGTTCAAAGCTTTCCCAAAGGCGTATTCTTGTTCACGAGAGCCCGCTTTACAAAACGAGACGTTTGGATAGTTTCTAGCATGTTTAATTCTAAAGTTATAAGCAATTTAGTTTAAAAAAACTGGTAAACATCCCTGTCTTAAACTAGTTATAAAGTAAGATCCAAAGTAGGTGTGAAGTTTTTAAATGTCTTGTTTTGTATGTCTGTCCAACAAATGTGATTTTCCCAAATAATTTTAAAACTTTTTTCCTCAAATATAACTATAAAAAAATGAAAAAAACTGATGAAAAAACTGGTGCATACTTACTCACAATATGACAAAATATCCTAGAACAAATCTTGCGATGTGGAATATTGTAGTTCATGCATTATTCTGCTCTTTTTCGCTTTTTGGCGTGATTATTTTTTACAGTGTGGAGGCACTATGCCTATAAGCATTCTTGGTTACTCTTTCGGCTCAATTCAATGTTTTTTTATTCACATTAATGAGAGAAAACTGAAAAGAATTTTATTCACAACGATACGAAAAAATAATAAAAGGTTAAAAATTAACACGACATAAGTTAATATGCAATTGAAAGACGAAGAATAGCTAGACACGACGATATTGTGCATCTCATGTTTTCTACACCCGATAGATATTTTCAATTGAAAACAACACGTCATTCGCTATCAGATCAACAGATCAATAACTATATTTAGAAAAAAAAAAATAACGTAGAGTAAAAAAGTTAAATGAAAATAAGAAAATGAGAGTTTGTGAAAATCATAAATAAAATTCAATAGAACAAAATTATATACTTAATCGTGTGCTATTCACAAAATAAAAAAATATTCATATTTAATCTGATTTCCCAGCTATTTGACTCTGCGTAGCTCAATAAAAGAGGAATTTTATATTTTCAATGATTCATCAGAGTGGTCGAACTGAAAAATCTTCTAAGACAAGTCAAACAATCGAGTAGAAAAAAAGATCGGATATAAAATAAAATATTTTTAATAATGATAAAAGGATTCGATTGTTAAAAATTTTTACACATTACCGAAGTAAAAACGAAGAATAAAAATAAAAAGACGACATGTTATTATGAAACATCAGTAAATAAAAGAGAGATACACTAAAATGAGCTTACAACCATCGTTGATGACTAATTAAAAGAATTTTTTATTTTTATATTAAACTACACTTATTGAGCAAATATTCAATTCACTATCACTGGTAGATAAAAGCTTTGGTAACACACACTACTCATCAGTTGATGATAATCGTAGAACTTTTCGTACTGACGATACTGTATTTTGAGAATCTGTTATGGATATTTTTCTTTTTCTACCATTTTGTGTGTCATTTGTTATAGTTTCCGTTCCATTTGTCGTATGTGATACGCGAAGTGCTAAATCGACTTCTGGAGGTGTTTCGAAGAATGATTGAGTATTATTCATACAATATTCGACTCTTAATTTTGGATACTCATGTTGAAAAAATTTTAATAAATGATGACGATTTCGTTTTAACACCGAGGCACGTGTACGAGTTGTATGAGCTATAATTGATGCCACTTCTTTTAATTTTAGTGGTATAATGGGGTGTGGAGATGTTGTTGTCGTTGTACAACCTGAAAGATCATCAGAACAATCTGACAAATCAGTAATGGATGACAATGGTGATAATATTAACATGTTAACATTGTGATTATTGGTGGTACCGCTAGTTTTTGTAGTAGTAATATTATATTTTTCATGAAATTGTTCATATTTTTGGAAAAAATCTTCAATACGATCTGCTTCACTCGTTGTTGAAAAATACCCAAATGTTTCACGTATTATTGCTTCTAAATATTCATCATTGTAGTTTGATCGAAAGAACTGCCAATTTTCTTCAATATAACGACGATAATAATCGCGACCCACTTTACTCAAACAAAAACCTTTATACGCTTCAATACGTTCATGAAGACGAATTTGTGCGAATGATATTAAGTCTAATGTACGTTTTATAAATTTTGGATTTTGTACATAACTTAAACCAAATAGACAACGTAAACGATCATCATGTTTATCACGTTGAACATATACTTTAATTAAATTAATAAAATCATTTTCAGATGCATGATGAGCAATTATAGCACAAATGGGCCAACAAATAGGTTCATTTGGATCATTCATATACGATAGAAAACGTCGACGAACTTCACTAATAATGTCTTCATCATAACCAACGGTACCTAAAAGTGCAGAGAAAATGGTTGAATAATAACATTATGAAATGATATCTTAACTGAAGTCGAAGGAATGTTGTTTTTCAGTTGCTCGATGCTATACGTATACTTACCTAATATGATTAAAATAAATGAACGTAGACGTGAACGTGATGTTGATTCACCAATATCAGCTGTCCAACCCAGTTTATAATATAATGTTTTATGTATGTCAATAATGTATCTTCTATAATATTCAACTAATGATTGATCATATTCTAACATTGTCGCTATTCGAATTATATTCGATTCAATATCTTTCCAAACTGTTTCCTCGTCAGTTTCATGTATATAACAAAATAATAAACGTAAATAGTTGACTAACGATGAAAAACCACCCATAACTAATGAATGTAAATCATTCTCAATATCAAAACGATCGTACTCATTTATCTGATTTGTCTTGATTGCTTTTTGTAAATAATTTTTCAATATATCATCACTGTACAATACACGATAGGTACCACTACAAGTGGCATTCACTTTGAAATGTGTAGTTTTCAGATGAACGACGACTCGTTGTTTATCTATGAGAAATTTTTCAATAGTTGGTGGTGCTACTGACTTTTGATCATAACAGAGAATTGTAACGGGTATTATCCAACACTCATTATCATCATAACAATGATTTCTATTAAGATTATGATCGAATTTGAGAAAAAATTGGTCATTTGATACCGTTGTACGTCTTGGAAGACCATTTGAAATAGTTGTAGACTTGAGATGAATACTCAATGATGATACATTTGTACTATTTAATTCACACAATTGATTAGATATTACAGAAGTAAATGAGTCGCTTTTTGATCGCGTAATTCGACGACAAGAATAATTTTCATTTTTTCTCACGTGACAAGAACAAATATTGTCTGTGAGTATGTCCGGTGATGTAGGCTGTTCAAAAACACATGCTATACGTTTTTGATTGTAACCCTGACAATAGCTGACTTGTTTTAATTCAATATCGCATGAACCTGAAACAAATCAGTAACATAATAATACACTAGAACGCATAGGCATAAATCTTCTGTACTTGTATTTTCATCATATGAAATCATATTAACAGAAACTACTGGAAAACTCTGTTTTGTACACCATGTTTGAATCATTTTCCCTAAAGGATATAATTTTATTTTTTATTTCATTAAATGAATGTGTTTTACTTACGTATTGGTAAATGTGTTATTTCTTCGATACATAGCCAAAAATCATTGGCAGTTGCAGTTGAATATTGAAATTTTCTTAAATAATATCTTGTTGCTGTTAAAAATGCTTCTTCACCAATAAATAAATGAATCATACGCATAAGACATGAACCTTTTGAATAAATATAACCTTCAAATGAAAATGTTTTTTCATCAATATCCTCTGGTTCAATATGTAACGTATTTAAATGATATTCAAAATAACGTATATATTGTGTATAAAAAAATTCTGAGAAAACATTCACTTCTGGTAAACAATAATCTGTGGCCAAATATTCAAACCATTTTGCAAAACCTTCAATAACATAAACATCATTCCACCAACTAAAAAATTTAAAAATAACATCATTTAATTGAGAGCCAACGCTATTAGCAGAATATCAACTATTTTAGATTTAGCAACTGAATATGATATTTTAACAAATTAAATAAATATCTCATGAAAACTGACAGGCACAATTCTCATGGCCTGCTTAAGGGTACCTTCCCCGCTTTGTTGACCCTCTTGGAACCGGGGAAGCCAATATCGGATTGAGACGAAGTTGGAGATAGAACATCGAAAAAGAAAATCGATTTATTTTTGCCAAAGATTTTCTGACGTGCTCTTCGGCCATCTGGCTCAGGCGCTAGAATAGATAAAATACTCTCGAACTTACATGGCTAGACTCCTTTTGAGCTGCTGAATCAGAATATGTATGTTTGAGAAAACGAGAACCTATGTAACTGGGTCAAATTTGAAGTTTCACTTCGAAAGTGTCAAAATCTCACTTTTCAGGCGGTATTCAGTATTTTGAAGATTTCTCCCCCAAAACTTGATCAAAAGTGAATAAAAAGGTGATATTCGGGATCTACGTTTCACGGTCTATCCAACCATGTATATTTAAAGAAAATCTATTTTTGTGTGTACCTTTCGAATTTCCAGCACCTTACAGGATTTTTAGTATTTTCCGAATATCTTGAAATGGAAAGCATATTTTTCGAAAAGAAAAATTTCCATCCTGAGATAGGATCTAATATATCTGGGGTAAAATGTTGAGCTCGACATTTTTTGTTGAGCTCTGACCATTTTTTCGAGGGGTCGTAATATGACCCGATTGAAGGAACTATCGAAAAAACGCATAGTGAGAAGAACACATATTCTATATAGGGTTCTGTTGTTTAGGGCCTTGGTGGTGATGCGTATATCTCCACGAAAGCTCATCAGAAAATTCTGGAAGACATCTCATTTTGAAGAGCACACTTCCTTTTATCGTGCTAGCTATAAGAAAAAATTTTGAATATATAAGAATGGAAAGAAAAATTTACGAACCTAAAAATTGAGTCGGCTTTACAGGAAAAATTAAAAACTTCCTAATTTTTTCGAGGAAGGTCATGAAGAGCTGAGAGTGGTCGCGTTTTATGGCCCAGACTTTTCTCTATATTAGACTATGTTCAGCTCAAAATGAAACTTTTCTGCAAAAAAGAGAGGGGGAGGGAGAGGTCCCCTTGAGTAATGATCATGTTCATAAAAATGAAACACAAAATATTCTTTCGCTTAAAACATAAATTCGGAGTCGTCCAAAAATATTTTAAATATATTAGCGATAATATAGTACGTACTTGATACTGACAAGATTACCAAACCATTGATGAGCTATTTCATGTGTAATAGATTGACAAACATTACGATACTGAATGTCATTTGAACATTTATCACTGAGTAGTAATTCTTCTTCTTTAAATGTAACTAAGCCCCAATTTTCCATAGCCGGATAATATAAATCTGGTACAGTTATTAAATCTAATTTCGGTAAAGGATAATTTAATTGAAATAACTCAGAAAAATAATATAATGCACGTCGAGCACATTTCAATGCAAATAATGCATCATTCGCTTTACCAGGTAAGGTGTAAGCACATAAATCGATTTTTCTTGTCGTTTTTACATCTTGAGCAGTACTAAAGATGCAAAATTAATTAAAACTTTTTCATCCAAAAAAAAATCTAGTCACAGTTAAACTAAAATACTATTTTCGTCGAAAAAATCACATACATGGATGCTGAAGATGTTGTTGTTGTTGTTATTGTTGCGGATTCATTCAACTGAATTGGATCTGCTCTCAATATATCAAATTGTCCAACAATAAAACATAATAAAAATGTTGGCATAATTGGTGTACGTTGAAATTGCACACATTTTATATTTGTTTCAATTAATTTTTCAGATAAAATAGGCATATTTGATAAAGCCAATAGATGCTGAGGTACATTGAGAATAACATCGAATGTTGTACGAAATGATGGTTCATCGAGACATGGAAATACTCGTCGACAATGTGTAGGTGACATTTGTGTGATAGCATAATAATTTTTTTGAACGTTTATATCATTATCCTCGACTTTAGGATGCTCAGAACGATAAAATCCATGTAATTGTGACGTTTGTAATTGTCCATTAAATTTAATTTCAATTCGATATGTTTCATTTAACAAAAATGTTTTCTGATATTGATTTATATTAAATTCTACAGTTTCATGTTTTTCATTTACTATAACAGTTGGTTTCCATTCGACAATAGAGGAAGATGATAACGAATAGATACGAACAAAGTCTGATTCAATAATGAGATTGGATGAGTACAATGTTAATTGTGTGATATTCTCTTTATTTAACACGAAATCAATTTTAACTATTCCCTCAAAATAGGCATGTTCTAGATCGGGTGTTAGTTCAATTTCATAATGTAATGGTGTTACATATTTTATACGACGAAAAGACATAATTTGAGATGATCATGTATCAAGGTAAAAAGTGAAATAATTCTATAGACAATAAAAATTAAAGTAATTGAAAATAAATGACAAAGAACGTCACGTACCTTTACACAAACACATTATAAATAAAATATGTGTTAAATAAGAAAAATCAGTTTTAGAATAAACTGGCAAATATATCATAATCTACAAGGAAAATATGGAGAATAATTATCTACTTAAAATCATTAGAAATTCAAAGAAATTGAATGTCACTCGATTACAGTTGTCTGTATAATTTTCGTATGTGTGTTTTATAAAATTTCTCAGGTAAAAAGTCTAGCTTCATCATCATTTTTCGTGTTTTTTATGTTGTAGCTGTTGTGTGAACTTAAGACAAATTTAAAGTTCCTTGAAACTTGTTTTAAATTTTTTCTAACTTATCCTTTACTTAAGTATTCAACTAACTTGAAAAAAATAGATTTTGTATCATCATTCAAAATATACCTCATACAATTTTATTTTATCTTACTATCTGTCGATAATAGAGAAAATTAAATTTTGCATACTATTCGGTTTCTAGTCGAGAATTTGAATTAGCATTTGTGTTGTGGGTATAGTTCTTTGAATCTTCTTTTTCAAATCAAATTTAATCCTAAGTAAAAAATGTACACATTGTATACTGACAAACGAAATACCTGATGAGAGTTAACGAAAATGTCAAACTTGAAAACAGAAATATTTTGACCATTTCGTGAAAAGTATTTTGGTAAATAAATTGAAAACTGAATACTGTGAAACTTAATAATGGATAATATCCACTATGTACGAAAAGGATTTCGATCTCTATAAATAACCACTACGATGCTTACTCTTTTTACTTTTTAAAATTGGTAAATTGATGGAATAGCTAAAAGACGATAGTCATTGGTCACTATGTTTATTAGATTAAAACTATCATTCTACAACAGTATCCGGAAGATTTTTTCTGTCAACCAAATCTATTGTAGAAGGACTATTTTTCATTATTCATGATTCGTCACTACGTTTAGTATCATTTAATCTATTGAACGTACATGTATAATCTATTCAATTCATGGAAATAATCCTTGAAATCATCAACAAAAGATTTGACATATGTAGATAGCATGCGTAAACAAGATGTTCCAAAGAATGAGCTGCTATTGTTCAAATATGTAGTATACAACTGACAATAAATAAATGTAACTCATCTTCCGAAATAATACATTCATTATTGTGAGCATGTGTATTAAGGTCTTCAATCTCATCTAAAGTAGCATGAGCTGCGTTCTGCGAACAAATTGTACTTAACATAAATGTGACAAAAGTAGTACTTGGAATTGAAGATTTATTCTGATTATTATCTTTCCTTCCACAGAATATTCATGTTAAAAAAGAATGTTGGTTATTCTAACCTATCTCCCTGTCAAATTTTCTTTTTTGTGTTACATACAATAATTGTAACATGATGTATTTGTTTTTGATATAATAATCTATGAAGTATGAAGAAGACTACAATAACTAATGATTTTCTAAGAGTTAGAAGACCATGGTCTTCTATTTGGCTTTCAAGTCATAGAACCGGCAGTGATCTTCTATTATGGGAAGGGGTTTATGATATTATTTAAGAGTGAATCGGTTATACGATCTATCTAAAAACATTTTTTTAAGTATGCAAACAGCTGTTTCTTTTGACATTCAAATAAACGGAAATAAGCACTTACCAAATAGGTTTTGAAAACAAAAATTGCATATAAACGAACTTTATTTTTATCTGTAAAGAAAAAAAGAGGGAAATAAAATGTTTTAGATAACTAAAACGCATTCTATGGTACTCAAAATTACCAACAATATGTAACGGAGGAAATTTTGTTCGATTACTTTCTAATTTCCAAACTTTTAAAACAAAATATGAATGGTAGTAGCACAGAAACTTTGACTTTCAAAAACCGAAAATAGTACAAAAAATATAAATTTCTCTCGTCTATTTTTGACAGTGAAACAAAATGTACAAAATGATTTAATTTAAATCAAAGAACAAGCAATAAAAGACAAAAAACTGTATTCTTCTAAACGTTTTTTCGTCTTTTGACAGATCGTCGTGTAGTTTGTAGTTTTTGTCTTTTCGAATTACTTGTATTAATAAAATTTATCAGACTAATATCATCGGTATCATCATCATCCCGTTCAACTCTAGCCTTATTATCCATCATTACAAAATCGTTCTTGGAAGATACAGTTTCAGACTGTTGTTCTTGTCTTATTTCATTATTAATTGCAGAATTTAACATTGGCCATAAAAGATGATTAGCTAATTGGTTTACATTCAGATTACGCTTGCAAAATAAACTCTGCACAGTGTTTACTGATGAATGAATATCATTTGCTTGAGATGATGTTTGTGGTATAATTGCGATACTTGACTTTGATGATATAACTTTCTCGCGTGGTATTGTAGGTAAATACTGCTCCGAAGGTTTTGAAACATTGTTATCCTTCGACGTCGACTTCTGCGCTGATGAACTTGTAAAAATAGACGGAACAATGGCTAACGGTGGTGGCGTTTGATAAATGTTTGTTACTCGCATATCATCGTTCTTCAAAGTAAGTAATTCTTCTTGGTTAGTAGTTTTGAATAGTGGTTGTTTTGACTGTAAATGTTTTACAGTTGACAATACTTTCATAAGTTCATCGAACGATGATACATTGAAATGAAGTTCATTGTCATTACTAAAAGTATCTGATTTGTTGTTGTCAACCACAATTTGCACAGGATCATCGGATATTAAAGCTTGAGGTAGTTCTTTTATCGGATCTTGATTTAATAAAGATATATTACTATAATTGATGAATGGAGATGCAGGTTGAGCATCGGATAATGATAACAACGATGGTGACACTAAGTTAGTATTTATTGGTGAATTGTTTTTCTCAATCATCAGTGACTAAACAGAATGTACGAGATCACAAAAAAATAGAAATTTAGAAGGGTATACTTACAGAAGTAAGTTTATCATTCAGATTCGGCAACTGTGAATCATTGATATTATCGATGTTATGGGTAACTTCATTAGGAATAGTAGGCAGTTCTATTTGATCTATTACTACAGTCGATGTTATTTTCGCTGATGATTTATCAGTAACAAATGATGAAAGAGTCTGATGATCCTTCATTTGATTATCATTCATCAATGTTGTTAGTAAATCAGGCGTAATTTTTTTAATATTCGTCATCACTTGTGATTCTGCACATTTCCATAGCGACAGAATCTTCGCCTTCTGAGATTGTTGTTTATCGTAATCGGGTAGTGTGATTTCTTCGCCATACTCATTAACCGTCTGCCAATTCGATTCTTTACAAAGCAATAAAAAGAGGTGATGAAGTAGATTTGATAAGAACGACATGATGCTAAAATACCTGAGCAACGAATTAAACAGTCAATGTAAGATGACATTGTTGATTTATGTTCATCAGTCTTAAATACGATCATGTTGTGCAATCGAAAATATCGACCAGAAAAATTGAGACACGGTAGTGTGCGTTTTAACGGTAAATCGTTTAACATAATTGCAACAATATCAGCAGCTCTAAAAATTAAAAAACATGTATTAATAAAAAGTTATTATCAAAACTGTTTATTCTTTACCTTCGAAACTCAACAGATTTTGTTTGCCCAGATGTGTGACATCGAAAACAAACACAATCAGTTTGAAAACCAGATATACTGACTCCTTTCGATGGTGCCATGGATAAATCTTTTGATGGATAGACTTGAATAACATCTTCAACACTAAAGTAGAAAAAATACACACATTCCATTTATTTTACGTATTGCATTCTATATACAGTAAATTTCTACCTGTGATGTAATGAATAACCGCATTCAGTACATAAAAACTGTTCATCAACAACAGATAAAAATACGTTGGATAAGTACGCATCATTTTGAATAAATTTTCGCAAAGTTGAAGATATTTTTTGTGTATGAAAATTTTCTCTAGAAGACATAAAATGAAAGACAACTTTTGCAACTTTATAAAAAAGACACAGCGAAACAAGCACTCACTGGAAAATATCTAGAAAAACTTGCAAATAAAACTTAATCAACTGATTTGACGATGTTTGTTTCGTTTGAATTTCATCGGCCAAACGACGATAAGCAGACGAAAAATCTGTTCTTGATGAGTTGCTCTCAACTGATTCAAAAAAAAAAGTGATCAAAGTTCCAAATGTCTTCAATTCAGCAGAAATATGATGCCAACTTGACCATATGTGATCAGTTGAACTTGTTGCCATGTGACGAAAGGAGCATGAGGTCCTTTTTTAAGAAAATATTAAATTTGAAGCAACAGGCAAACAAATACTGCCAAAACAGAATAGATATGTCATTACAATAGTCTGTTTTCTAGATTTTTCAAAAATAAAGTTTTCGTATTCATTTATCATTCAGCTATAATATACACGTCTAAAATTATTCTTAATAGTTGTAATTTACTGCTGCTATTGTGTCAGATTATATTCGTCCATTCCCTTCAAAAGTTGCAACCAATCATCGTTTCACTTTTTCCGCCACTAGGATGCTATTGGGTTGATGATGTTGGCGACAATTCATGAACAAGAGAACTCATTATTTTGAGGTTGAATCGGCGATTTTTTTTGATTTAGGGAAATTGCAATAAACCTTGCAAAACGGAGCGATTTAAATGATATATAGAATTAAATATAAATGAATGTCTGACTTTTTCTAGAACATTGTTTCAGAGACTTTTCAACTGTTCGAAACTTTTAAAGGTATGAGCTTTTACACTGGTAAACTTCAATTTAGCACCAAAATTCGCTATTATAATGAATGAGACACTGTATAATGTCATAAGGAAGAACAATATCTCAAGTAATTATTTGTCTTCTTCAAGTACTCAATAGCCATGTGACAAAGCTAGAACCGTTTTCATCCAAACAACTGATGTTTCATCTTCAAATAATTTACTTTAAATTGTTGCTTGAAAGTTTAAACAGCTTGGTATTAGAAAGGGTATCCAGCAGTAACAGGTATTCTATTCTTTTTTCTACGGGGTATATTTTAACATTTACAATTAACATATCATAAATAGATATTATTTTAAAAAAACTAATCAACAAAAAGAAAGCTTACTGAAGAAAGCTCAGAAAATGTTATGGTTTCAGAACAAATGTTCTCTATATTTTCATGGTCAGAAAAAACGAGGCGTTATAGGCTTAATCAAGTTAACAATAAGAAGAGAAAGACTTAGCTTAAAATTTACAACAAAAACATAACAACGTTCTTAAGAAAAAAAGCCAATAAACGCATTAAAGTACAAAAGCAAAAAAGAATGTATTGCAAATATTAAATGGACGGAATAAACAAAAATGAGTTATTGCGGAATGTGTTTACGCTTTATTAATGAATTTTTCTAACGTTTATTTGATAAAATTCGCACAAGATCATCACAATTACATCTTCCTAATAATAAATAAAAATGTCGTAATTAAAAATTGTAAAATTAAACAAAATTGTAAACTCACCATCAGCATCAATATCCGCTTCTCTTGTTAATTCATCTACTTCTTCCTCGCTTAAACGTTCACCTAATGATATCATAGCTAAACAGAAAAACAAATGGTAAATTATTTAAGATAATAAAAGATTGTAAACACGTACCATGTTTTAATTCAGACACGGATACATAACCCGTTCCATCTTTATCAAATACTCGAAACGCTTCACGTATATCTTCTTCTGTTTCTTTATTATTTGCTTTGAAATCTTTTGCTATTTTAACAAATGTATCAAAATCAATTTTTCTACCAACTTGTTGTTGTATTTTTTGGAGATCTGCTTCAGACGGACTTAAACCACATGAACGAAGAACAATACCTGAACAAGAAAATAAAATAACAACAAGTGATATAATTAAAACGACAAAAAAACACTTTACCAAGTTCTTGGGGTGCTATTATCTCATCATGATCTTTGTCGAATAATGAAAAAGCTTCTCGATATTGACGTAATTCATCAGACATTTTATTTGATCTGTACTGTATTTATCTGAAATGAAAATAAAATCAAAATAGTCGAATCAGTGCTGACTACAAATAATATTCATCAAAATATTCAGACGTAACATTTGAACGAATAATAGGATTCCAAAGGATAAATTGTCTACTTACTTTCAGATAGATGTATAGAACTGTGTAGTTAGTAATAATAAGATCAGAGTGATTTCACTGTTATTTTATGAGTAAGATGAGAGAATAAAACTAACCACAAAGTAAACATATGTGACCGGATAGTTGCACAAATATATATGGAGATTTTTTCTTTCTTTCCTTTTTGTTCATCTCAACACAGATCTATAAACTTAGATATACACGATTCAAAACTATAATTTATTTCGTACATGTTTTACAGCTTTAAGGTGTACGACTAATGCTGTTACGTTAACAGAAATAAAACAAATTAATATCGATTCAGAAAATCGTCGAAAAGCCAATATAATACTTTTTTCAAATCCATCTGATTAGATTTTAGGTAACCAGATGGAGACTTATAGTCTTAATCAAGTTATAGTCTTTATAAAAAGTTCGATTGACTGTGTGAATTCTCACCTTAACGTCACATATTTAATCGTCTCAAATTTGAAGGCGAAATTGTAAAACGTTTTGCTAATACAAATCTCTTACAACGATGACCCCAATCTTCTTTCTCCTTATAGATCGGTTTACAAGAGATGGAGAAACAATAAAAACCGATCTTATGCATAGAGTTAGTTAGATCACTTTCTATTCGGAAGTTGCGCCGTGATTCGGTCAAGAAAGTATTCCTATCCAAGAGAATTTATTTTACAACAAAATAAATTGATGAGTATTAACAGAAACATTTTACGAATCTATATAGATGCTGAAACGACTGAAATATCATCTAAATAATATAGAAAAATCAGAATTTTTTGGAAAAATGAAAAAATTAAACAAAAGATTTTATATAACTCGCACATGTTGCGTTCTTAATTCCTTTCCTATTGATTATGATTTAGCTGTTGCAGCTAGATTTAACTATATTTCAATGACAATTATATTTTGCTACTTCGAATTTTTAGATCAGATCATTTGTTGCTTTATGTTTCTGTTCAATGTGTCCGTGTAGCCTAGAAAACAAAAATAGAACTTCTGACACTTACAGATGACCTAATTATATCTCAGATACACATGAAATTAGCTAAATGCGCAAAGATCTAGAATAGAGCGTTTTATTGGTACGCAAAAGAAATAAAATAAAATGACTGTATTTAAAATGAAGACGCACACGGTTGATAAAAATATTTAAGGAAAGGTTGCAGCATAAACTAAAGTCTCTATAGTATCGGAAGGATTTAAGTATGGTGAATTGTCTGACTACATATCATTTTCGCAGAGTTTAACAGGATTTTCTAACAGGAAATGCTATGAAGCTTTAAAGTAAAAATATCACTAAGCTCTTTCAAGACCTTCTTAGTTCGTATCCACACCGACGTCATGCAATCAATAGTGAATAAGAGAAATATAAGAGAAGGGTTACTACCTTCGAAGGAAGTTAAAACCACAAGAACAACTGTATTCATATCAGTCAATGTGTTTGTGTTATTCACACGTTTACTACTAAATCTGGGACTTGTTTCACGAAAAAACTTAAACTAAGTTTTTAAGTTTTTTCGCTTAAGTCCGACTTGACAGATTCCGCCTTATATTATGATTATTGTGTGTAAGTAGAGAAACCAATCGGTTGCGTGAGTGTAGCGACGTCACCTGTGCATAGCTGTGTATGCCGGTTTGGGAGAACAGCTGTATCATCCTAGGAAATTTGCTGTTTATAATTTGTTGTTGCTACTTGATAATTTTCTATTTGTTTTTAACAAAAGAAATATATCTTCACAAAGTACCTTTGTTTAGAAGAATGGAATATTTAGCGTAAAATGAGTCATGTCATACATGTGTGTATATATATATATATATAGGTTGCGTGTTTTATTACTGAAATGTGCATTGACAGACTAGTGTATCGATATATTTAAGCACATCGAGGTTTATAATAGACGCTGTCAAAGCTCTTTTCATTAACCTTTCGAACCGCACTTGACTTCTACTTTTATAGTCTTCAAGTCATGTTTAGCATAGAGATTGTCAGTAGCTTCTTGTTGTTGGATCTTGGTCACCAATAGCTCCTATACTTTTTTATCTCTAATTTTTCTCAAGGGTTTTCTTGTTTGTTAAATAGGTCTTAAACTTGAGTGCTTATCTCCTGACTTAAGTTTGCTTAAGATTTGTTTTAAGTGTGTTTTATTTATATTACGAATCGTAAGTTTCAACTCAAGTCTGCAGTTCGAGTCTTAATTCCATTGCAGGTGATCTTAAGTTTGAATGAATGGATTTATTCACGTAATGTGAGAGATTACCAAATATTCCTGACATGTTACGCGATAAATTAAGCAGTGACTTAAGACGTCGTCACCGTTGTCTCAAGTCAATTCTGTTAAAACGAAGCACTAAAATAACCTTTTTCTGTTTTGGATACTGCGAGTAAAATCTAAAGATTTTTTCATCTAAAGTTCACCAGAAGTATTTGTGATTAGAAGATGAAAATCAGTATGCTCCACTTATTTACTTTCCATGTACTTGCCTGTGTCGTGTATGAGCAGCAAATTTGATAATAACTAAACACTGATTGTATGATGAACATAGCTGTGTTTGTTATTTATTTACAATTCTTAGAGCTTTCCGTATCACCAACAATTATGTTAAATTATAATCAGAAAAACAAAATATATAATTAGGGGGATACAAGACACTACTCATCGTAATAATATATTGACATTTATCGCACCACAAAATCGTATTATGAATATTCTTGTCGAAAAATTTCAATGATTATCATAGTTTGTTCTTTGAATATGCAGATAACTATTTTTCCTACAAGATATATCTTGGTTGACCATTGCTTGCATCTGATTTGAACAGAATAATGTTGATATACTAAAATAAGAAAAAGGATATAACATCAGAAGACATTTGACCAATATGACATCGAACAAACGACAAGTGTGGCAAAAGATAATTTCTCGCTGACAGAAGGAAAATGTTTTTAATACGTATAACTACCCTCTAAGGAGAATTTCATACCAAGTCTGTCAATCCTTTATAAATGCGCCTCCGTCCCTGTCGATACTCCTGAAGCATACACTTGCTGTATGCTGAGAATGCGCGCGGTTCAACTACCACCGGGATCAATTTTTTTAGTGGTTGCTAATTTGTGTCAACTCATTTAATAGCACTGATATATTCTACAAGAGTTGTTATAATGTAATACTAGTGTAAAGTTCGTTCAACTTTTTTTTAAAGAAAAATATTCTCATATGAGCTGCCGTTCAGTATCATACCTGTTTAATGTATGCTACATGGTTGTTTCACACAAGATGTAATAGAAGAAAAGTGAAACAACAATGAACATATTATTGAACTTTTCTATATTGTTTTTTTGAAAACAAAGAAAAAGATCTCTAGTAAATATTTAGAAGAACACATAGGAGAATAATTGATAGGACTCTTAACTCAATACACAAGTCTGAAAGAATGGTGTCATGATATTTTTTCAGATTAATCTGATCGTACTGCAACGATGGCAAAAGAGCAATTATTACTTCAGCTTGCTTTGGTTTTACCATCGCGAAAATGTACAGAAGAAGATATTGATGAGGTATGTAATTCGTTTTTTTCTTATTTGTGTGTAGTACATCGTTTATGTTTTTTAGCTTTTTCCATTTCAAAATCTCTCAATTGATTTAACTAATACATATTTTTCTCAATTTGTCAACACATCACAATTATCCAGTTCTGATAAAATATGCCAAGCAGCTCAATTTTTGTACATATTCTAATATTTTTCTTTTATTAAAAATATTTTGATCTATTTATTTGTTTTTAGTGATTTTTTATGTGAAATGGGTGGCGAAACAGAATGTGGTTTGTGGCTTCTAACTCAATCAAGTAAGATGAATGAGACAATACTAGTAGTTCATTGTTCATGATTCTTGTTTAGCAAAAGAAGAACGACGAAAAATTTTATTAAATTTAATTGATATATTAAAATATTACAAATATTTGATGGATTATATTGACGATACAACAGAAGAAGATGTAAGTAAATATTTATTTTATTTAGAAAAGTATCATGATGTTAAATATTTTCCAGAGACAACTTCGTGCTACCCAATTCAATATGGAAGATGAAATTACCAAATTTGAACAGGATATCAATGTCGATGAAGAACAAATTGAACGAGTATGAGTTTGATTTTTGTGAAAGATGAAACAATCATAACATGTGTTTTATTGCTTTTGTTTAGTATAAAAAAGAGAAGAAACGGCAAACATCGGTAGACGCAGACATTTTAAAAGGTAACAAAGCATTGGATATCGAAATGGACAATATACGCAAAGAAATAGAAGTGCTTGAGAAACGTGATGTAAGAAAAATACAATTAATAGAATATTAATAACATCATATACTTTATTTAGAATGAGTTAGATGATGATCTAAAAACGTTAAAAAGTAGAGAAAAACAGCTTGAGAATCAACTTGTTGGCACGTCATTGAACGATTTAACATGTGAAAATGTCAATTATGTGAAAGAAAATGCCAAAGTAAGAGAACAGAGATTAGCATTCCTTCAAAAATTTGTTCATTAGACATAAGGAACGAATCCTATTAGTACGTACAAAATAGACGAGCGTTGAGCTCTACCTTTGCATTTCCATGTATGATTTTTCATGAATTACTCTTTTTCTCTAGTTACAAGATGAAATTAGTTCGTTAAAATATCGTGAAGAAGATCATATTAAAAAGCGTGGGAAAGTGAATAGTGCTGTGAGTGATTTGAGTATGATGTGTACAGAATTAGAATCATGTGGTGAATATTCAAATGAAATTCAGTAAGATCTAGGAAAGATTTGTTCGATAAAAAAATAAATATTTATTTTGTCTTATAGAAGTTTACAGAATACAATCGAACGACTTGTCAAAGATATTGATGATGCTAAACAGACTACACAAAAATTACGTATATTGGATCCGGTTCAATCATCAGACGATAATTATAAAGAATTTTTAACAAATGCTCAAATGTAATCATACAAATTTACGTCATTATCAATAAAACTGAATAATGTTACTTTTACTTTTGTATTTTAGTGAATTGGAACAAAGTAAACAAACTGTTGATTCAGCTCGTGATGAATATGAGCATGCTTCGAGTGAAAATATGCGTATGAAACGTGCTGTACAAGATGAAAATTTATTCAAAGATTTACATGAAGCTCAAAGACGTCTGAGAAATGCTAAAGATGGAGTAAGTGGAGGCTATATTTGTGTCGTTTTATGATTCCTTAACGTGGAAACCTTTTCAAAGTGCGCACGTCTGTTTTCAATGATATTAGACCTGTTGATAGAGAATATGGTACTAAGTAAGAGCAATTTATGATAAGCGGCGATAGAGTTATGTAGAATACTTGACGTAAGATGAAGACCTCAAATTTTGTACACAAGTTAAACCAACATTCCTCTTCAATTTAAAACAAACCCGAGCTCGGAAGACGATCGCGTTCTCAAGCAATGGTGTTCCGTTTTTCGCATTAAAAAAGTATTTCATAGCAAAATAAAACGCATGTTCGTGATCAGCGTCAAAAACTGAATCGAATCATGTAACTTTCAATCGTTTTCTGGAATTTTGTTTTCGCCAAAAAAATACCTAAGGTCCTGCTCATGTTTTTTCAGAGCCAAAAAAATTCCATCGTCTCGAAGATTTTGACGTTCATTGAATGTATTTAACTCATTCAAGAGGACCTCGGAAAAATAATTCCAGAAAACGGATGTGGCAGAAAGGAGAGAACGGTTTCCTCGTCCAGAATATTTCTGTAATATTAGTTTGTGACTAGCGTAGTTATGAAACAAATTTCAACCCTTCTCTGACTGTTTTCACTGAGATACGAAAACTGCAGTGTTAGTATTAGTATAGTATAGTTCTCTATTTTTAAGGCTGAAGTTCATCTTTTTTTTCAGCAATTTTTTAATAGCATAAATCAAGGAAATTATTATAATCCAACACCTAGTGCTATTATTTTTTTCTCTTTTTTTAGGCAAATCAAGCCAAAAATGGAATAGTAGAGGCTCTGTTGGACGCTGTGGATGCTATATGACAAACATATACTTTAATAATATTCGTTTACTGCTTTTTTTATGCAATTGTATATTTTTTTCGCAGGCAAACGTTCCTTTGGTTGCTTTATCTCATCGTATGTGTAGATTTTTGAATTTTTATGTAGACAAAATGTTTAATGGAACTAATTTTTTGTATGAATAAAGAAATATTCAATCATATGTACTGCGTCAATGCATGCAAAATTTTTGTATGCATTGAAGCAGTACATAAAATTACTAATGTTCAGTTTCAGATCAACTCTAGAGTTTCTCTCGATATACTGAAATAATCAAATAGTCATTTTAAAAGTATATCTTTGAACAAATGACACCTTAAATGTCTCACCAATTTTTTCTGCGTCTCTTCATTAAAAAGATGTTTTTTATGCACCGTAGAATACGGCTAGTTATGTAAAAGCTTTTGTCATTAACAAATATTCCTAACAATGATGTGTGATCAAAGATCTTTTGAAAATTGAGCGATGAACTTGTTACTTCGTTACATTGACTGCGTCTGATGAAAAGTTCTTACAATAATATACAGAAGACCGACTTTACTTTTGAAAATGAATTAACTAATTGGTTTTAGTGTTTTCTTGAGTAAACATTCCATTTTATTAATTTCATGTAATTATGGGTATGGTTTATTGTACCAAACACTTCGCTCACATGCGTGTCCCACGATAGGATAGGTGTTAGTGATAGACCACAGTGTTTGTGCAGCATCGCTTCTAGCAAAATTTGATTTTGTATGAATAGTGGAAGATTATACTGTTTTAAACATGATAGGTTCCTTACATATGTCATACCTTCAGTTTTGTCTATGTTTATATCAATTTGCCATGTGTCACACCAATTTACTATTTGGATTAGGTCATTATTTAATCTGTTAGTAGAATGTGCAGATTGATGAGTGAGTGTCGCAGTGAGGCGGCTCTGGGAGCTTTCCGGAGCCGTTGAAATGCTTTCCGATGCTTGAAATGCTCTCCAATGCTGACGCGATGCTCTTCGATGATAAGAAAGAAAAAAGTCGCCTTTCCCCGTGGAGTATCGAGCAATGTAGCGTCATCAGCAAATAATTTTAATAAACACTCTAAGCTGTCTCCAGGGTCATCAATGAATATGAGAAACAACAGACGAGCAAGAATGCTCCTCTGAAGAACTCCATAGTTGATGGTCCCCCGTCTGAGATATAGCCGTTAACTACTGTTCTAATTTTCGTGCTCTTGACGGCAGTTTCTCTTGGGGGAAGCATTTTGGAGCAGGGATCTGGGTGTAATCGATGCTGATAACTGTTGTATCCACACTTTTTTTCCAAAATGCTTCCCTGAAGCGAAACTTTGTTTATGGCACCTGACAAAACAGTTTTTGCCCTAAAATCCTATTGACGAGGTAAATGCTAAATTTCTCTGTGAAACTTCATTCGATAACGATGAAACTTTCAGTGTATGTACAACTCGATGTTTGCTATCGAATCAAACCAAATAGTGGCTTCAGCTGGAAATTTTTATTTAAATTTTAATAATTGGGCAAAAAATCGAGAAAAGACTTAAAAGATTTTCTCCAAAACTACAAGTCTGGGAATCGAAAAACTTGTAGAATATACATTTCAAACTGTCCTCTACAAATTGAGGAAAAAACCGGATGAGGAGACACCCCCCTCTCGTCCTTCATTAAACTCAGAGAGTAGTTATGAATTACTTCATATATAGATTTGCGTAGGTTATACTTTATTGTGTGTATCTATACGTCCGCGTCTCTGGTTAATCCTATAATAATTACTAATAACTTATTAAAAAAGTATATCAAAGGCACGGTATACTTTATCATTATTCAACAGATGGTTAACCTTTTAGATGCGAGGCAGTATGCATCTTTATTTGGTCTCAATCTAAATTGTGTAAGTAATTAAGAGATTGTTTTCTCTCTCTCTCTCACACGCACACACTCTATTTTTAAGCTCAAATAGTATGCTAAAAAAGCTTCCCACAATTTCTAATGCGCATTGGATGCGATAATATCAATTTATGTTTTTATATGAACCGAAACGGAAAAGGAAAACTCTCTATATTTTCTTTTCTCATTTATTCTAAAAAGAAGAATTTGTTTTAGATAACCAATTACATGTATGTACGTATGGCATATGAATCAAACGTCACATCAACCCACATAAAAAAATTTATAATAACCAAACAATATATAAATTGACGATTAATTCTTTAAATTTAGAAATATCAGTACACTTGTTGTCTCTAGAAGCGTTTGATACATTGAATCAAAAATTATGTTAAAAGTTTTCCTTATTATTATCATCTTTTTAACAGGTATGTAAAAAATAATTATCTGTAAATATTTATTTATATTAAACTCGGGCATTTTTCTTAATCATAATTCTCGAAAAAATCTTCGTTCTGCGGTTAGATTAATTGAAAAAAACTGACAAAATTTAATATCTTACGAGGAAAGGTTCCCACCTGTCGAATTGCTTTTTAATCCTATTTTTTGGCTGCATGAAGACCTCGATGAGACTAGAAAAAGTTAAAAAACATTTCGTGCTCATCGTCCTTCCCTTTTGAGATATCCAGTTTTTACTGGATTCTTTTTACTCTGCATAATAAAAAACTAAAATTTACCGACTTTTTTT